CACAAGCTTCAAAGTTGTATTTATCATCTGAATTTGCCGAAACAAGTTTAATATTCTGAAAGCCAAGACTTTGTTTAATTGAAATCAGATGAAAACAAACTGTAACGGACCCTGCCGTGTTATCTATGATTACTATACGCCTTGCATTCATAATGTCAGCCGGAGGGAGGGGGGGTCGGCGCTGCGGAACAGCAGAGTGGCGAGTGAGAGGTGCCATCTTCCCTTCACAAGCTTCAAACATGTATTTATCGTGTGATTTTGGAAATAAAAGTTTCATATTCTGAAAGCCAAGACTTTGTTTATTTAAAATCAAACAAAGAAAACAATTTTTTTACGCAAATCCACGTTTATTTTGAAATGAGCCGTTGCGACTTCCGACTGATTTCGATAGAGCGGGTCACACACACTGTATACTTCACATTTCTTTCTTGAATTCCTCGTACCACAGGAAAACCACAATACCCAGATCATTGAAGAGCATTTTTACACACTGTGTTCAACAACAGGAAGAAGGAGCAGGGTGCTGCTTTAAAAAAAAGAAAGTGCTCCCATTCTTGGCCTTCCTCCCTCAGATAAACAAAAAGCTAAAACACAGTGAGGACAACTCCAAACAAAATCAGAAACATCCAGAGGAAATCATTAGTCAAGCGGACGAGGATCCTAAAACAGCAGCGAGAGACGAATAGAATAGAAGTTCACTCCGTCATTATTTCACCGTAACACTTTTCTGGAGTGATTTCAGATTACGCTGCGCTGTTACAACAGACATAATTGAGGTTATTTTGGCAAAGGGCTGCAGATGTTGTTCCTGTCTCAACATAATTACACGCTCTGCATTCCTCTGGGCCTCGCTAAGGTTTATCCTCCTCACCCAAATCATACCACAAATCACCCAGCCTAAAATATGCAAAACCACAGCGACCCATTCAACTCCACTTTCCATTCTCAGCCCGTAGATCGACTGCTCCACTTCTTTTTACTTTCTATTTAGGGGAATTCAGAGCACCTAATTCACAATTTAATATTAAAGTGTACCTATTATCAGGGTTCTTACACCTTTTCCAAAGTCAAATTCAAGCACTTTTCAAGCATTTTCAAGGTGCATTTTCAAGCTTTTCAAGCATTTTACAGCTGTTGTAAATTACATATTTATATACACATACTTATACTCAAATGATTATTTCCCTACCTCACATTAAATCAGATGTTCTTTATGCTATAAACAACCAAATGTGTGTTTCATAATAGCATTCTACATGAGGATGAAAAATTAAAAATGTTAGAAAAGAAAACTAAGTTTAATATTTCAAAATGTGTGACCCATCTGTACGTAGACTGGGCATCCCATATAACCTGGCTGAGCCAATATAAAACAATCAGCCAAATAACTTTTCAATATATTATGGATTACTATTTTTGAGGTACTTTTAGGTTGGCAGTAAACACAAGTCAGAGGTAAATGGTGTACTTTCCCTCCACTACATGTATGTAATACATTTAGTTACTTCACAGATGTGGATGAATGATTTAAAATGTAATCAAGTGTTAAATCAGACTTTAGTTCCACCTGGAGTAAATTCAGAAGCTACTCTGCAGTATACAAAGTCATTCAAACTAGCTGCAACTTTACCAGCTTTGAGAACACTTTGATGATCAATCATTATAAAACATATCATATACAATTATTAGGGATGCTCCGATCGCCAATTTTGGAGCCGATCGCCGGAGCGACCCGACAGTGAAGAATAAATATATTTATAACTAGTTTAGCTTGTTCCAGAGGTAGATAAGATAGCTAAGTGTGTTAGGTCTAACTCTTAATGTGTGTTCTGCTCCGCTCACCGGTCCGTCACAGCGGGTGGAGCTGCAGGATTTCTGCTTCACACACACGTTGCATACCGCTATTTTATTGTCATTTTCGGACACTTAAAATACTGCCAGACTAGTGAAGCCATTTTGGCGAGCTTGTTTTGCCGCGCACAGAGAAAAGTGTCATGTATTTTACATGCAACGATAGCCTTATCTAAAATGTTCTACTACAGCGTACCTTTCGTGTGGTGTGTGGCTCGTCAGCGCAGACTCTCGCATCGTTATTGTTGCACACTTTGCAGGAGGCTACTCTTGGGCTTCGCTTGACCCTCGTCTCAGCCATGGCTTGTATTTGTCTTCTGCTAGCCAACGCTCGTTGAAACGGCAACCTCCTGGCATACTGTCATCTATCACTCTCATCAGAATGCCCAGGTCACACACGTAACAAAAACACTTGCCGGTCACGCGCATTGCGCGGGAAGGCCGGAGCGGAGCTGTTTTATGTAAAAGCGAAGCAATTAAGCGCGCTCAGACTTCTTTATTTTCTTTTAATCTAAAAAGCGAAGTAAAGCATTTACAATTTCAAGCACTTTATCCCAAATTCAAGCACCATTCCCAAAATTCAAGCACTTTTCAAACCTTGAAAACACTTCGTACAATTTCAAGCATTTTCAAGGATTTCCAGCACCCGTACGCACCCTGTATTATGTTATATTGGAAAAATATATGGTAGGGCCATACCTATACAAAACATACCTATGAGGTTTTTTGCTTAAAATACCAAACAGATCACCCATTGTAGCCATGCCTCATACTGCTCATACCCCTCTATTCCAGCTGTTAGAGAAACGTGGATTTTGGGTCCTTAGCTTAAAAAAAAGAAAAGAGGAGGCGGAGCTAATGCCTGATCAGAATTCTACCGGAAATAAAGTTAAATTCTGCTGTGATAAAACGCCATCCTGTTCTAAACCACATCAAGGATTATTTCTGAAACAGTATGGAGCTCAAATGCTTTTTCTCTTGCAGGTTTATCACACGGTGAGTTCCTTTTTTTATTTCCTGCTTTTTAAACACGTGCTCTCCAGTACAGGTTAGCTTCGAGTGTTAGCGAGGCTTGCTAATGTAAACAAAGACGAGATTATGTCCAAAACACGTCAGGCATTGTTTCTGATAGCAACTTTCTGTGGGTCCACCATCCGAAATTACGTCATATCGGCAGCAAATCTGTATCCGCTCGTTGTACCCCCGGTTTTAAAAGAAGAGGAAAAGAGAGAGGGTTTTATTTTCTGACGCTGCGTGAGTTCCCCGACACACCGGGGACACGTATTTATGTATAAAAGACATCAAAAAGTGCATTTTGCATGATAGGTCCCCTTTAAAATACTTTAGTCTCAATAAACAATTTGTATGTAAAACTATTTTTTGAACATCTATTTACTGAAGGGGTCGGGGAGTTTTTTTTTTGTTGAAATTCTTTCTCAAATGTTGAAATTTGTCCCATAATTATCAAATTTTTATGTATTAAAAAAAAAAAAAGCTTTCAGACATTTTTTCTTTATTTGTTTGAGGATATTTTTCTGACGTTAAAAATAATTGTTTCCCCTTTTTTGTAAAAGTTTTCAGAAATATTTCACCTATTTTTTTTGTACATTTTTCTGAAGTCCCAGAACAGTGAATTAAGCAGTTGGATGTTTTTAGACATTTAAACCAGAAATGTTAAATATTATAACTTTAGACTGATCATTTAAAAAGTAGTTTGGCATTTGAATCTTGGACTGTTTTGGTCCTATCAAGCAATATTCAAAGAAATTAAGAAAAATAGGAAAAATACTACTTTTAGGGCATCTTTTCTTCAGGTTTAATACCTAAATAAACACTTTTCAATCTGTTTACATACTTCCAAGTGCTTCCTGATGCTGATTACCAGGTTAGCCAATTACAGGGTTAATCTGGAAATGTTCTTATGGAGGATTGGGCTGAAAATTGCTTTATAATTAGGGTTCCAGTTAGTTGGAAACTTGACTTGTTTTTAAGCTGGCTTTAGAGTAAGCAGGCAGCTACTGAATTGTTTTTGTACCTTTCCTATTTCTTGCACATGAAGGTTCATTTATCTTAAAAAAAGGGGCATATTTTATTTTTAAGATAAAATATACAAGTCAAGTTTTTGTTAGCTAACCCATCGTCACCATTTCCTGTTTCAAAATAAAATAGGGATGCATAATATTGGCATTGTGGCAATATTGTTTATCCGCTGATGCCGATAAACACACACATTTGTTCCCCCCTTATTGCAGATAGCATGTGATAGCCCAATGGCAGACACACACTAAAAGCACAATGCTTTTTCTAATTCAACACATTCACAGGCCAAAATAGGATAAATAATTCAACTTAAGTTACATTTTAAGCATGTGTAACCCATATGAAATATAGGGCTACTAGACCCCTTTATGTCATTGAGATGTATGAATACATGTTGTTTCTGCACGGAGCACATGTACACCCAGGGTAATGAGTGGCGCGAATCACTCCGCCTCTCTCTCTCTTTTCCCCTGTGAACACGCTGAAGACGCAGAGACATAAGTTGAGCAACTCCTAGTATAGTGTGAATAATAGCATTTAAAAAGTGTGTATTTGTACCAGAGGTGTGGACTCGAGTCACATGACTTGGACTCGAGTCAGACTCGAGTTACCAATTTGATGACTTTGGACTCGACTTGACAAAATCACAAAACACTTGCGACTTGGACTTGAACACCAATGACTCGGGACTTGACTTGGACTTGAGCCTTCTGACTTGAGGTGACTTGATAATTTAATTCAGAGTTCTCCAACACGCCGATCGCGAGATGCCGCTAGAAGAGCAGACTCCCGTCGGGGAGAGCAGAATCTTCAGCCGCTGCAACTCTTGCTGAGAATCCATGCAGGCAGGGGCGGGACTTTATTTTGCTGAGCCACCATGCGGCCAATCATATGCGAGGACACACTAGGATCATACCATTATGTGAAAGGGTGGGGGGCAGAAGCTCCAAAGACAGCAGGTGTAGTGGTACAGGCCAGCTACACAGAGCGACGGGGAGACGGGGAGACAGACTTAAATGCAAGCGCGTTGGAAAAAGTCAAGAAATTAGCGAAAAACCGAAAAAAGAAGTAGCATCTGGCTGCATGTCAATGATATTGGAGAAAGCAAAGCTGAGTGCAGGATTTGTAAAATGAAAATAGCCTTCAGAGCAGGGTTTATTTTTTGGTAACCACTCAGGATTTATTGTCAGAGGTGGGAGAAGTTCAGATCTTGTACTTGAGTAAAAGTACCAGAGTGTAGGAATACTCGGTTACAATAAAAAGTCCTGCATTCAAAATGTTACAAGTAAAAGTACAAAAGTATTATCATCAAAATATAGTTAAAGTACCACCTGCAGAGGGATCTAGATTCAGGTGTTCTTTTCCCCATAGAGACGCCTCGCTGCACATTATCCCTTGCATAAAGATAGAAGTGGGTCCCATGCTGTACACAGTGGAAATAAACATTCTGGATACCTTAACATCAGCGCTCTTATGCATTGAACTCCTTCTGAATCAAACCGTCACGGTAGCCTAACCTTACTGATCCCTCTTACAATAGAAAAAAACACGTTACTTTACCAGCAGAGAGAAAATGGATTATTAAATTATTAATGTGACTAATAAAGAGCAGTTTGATTATTATTCTGTTGATCGATGTCATTACATTTGTTGAAAAGCACATAAGGACTTGTTTAAGACTCGTTTTGTCAAAGTTTAGGACTTGGACATGACTTGAACTTTCCCATCCTGACTTGAGACTTGACTTGGACTTGAGCGCAAAGACTTGAGACTTGACTTGGACTTGAGCGCAAAGACTTGAGACTTGACTCGGACTTGAGCGCAAAGACTTGAGACTTGACTCGGACTTGCAAAACAATGACTTGGTCCCACCTCTGATTTGTACTCTATATTAGTTAACAAACTCTAACCTGCAAGAACCCCTGTGTGAATCCGAACCAGAAGACGGCAGCCAGTGTCGTCTTATAAGTGTGGAAACACGTTTTTTTGTATTGATGTCAGCGAGCCAGATCCAATCTGACTTGGGAAGCCAAGTGAATCTGTGAGCGGTTGTTGGAAGCGGTGTGGCCTACCGACCTGCCTACAGAGGACGTTGATTTGAAGAATCCTGCTGAATTCACACTGATTTCCAGATAAGAACCAGTACACTATTCACGGCACTATTCGAACCTAGGTAGATGTTAGTGCCTCTGTTCTTGGTGTGGGATAGGACTAGAGGTGCTACACATGCAAAAGTAGTTTTTTTGCAACACTTCGCCCTGTCATATCAGAGAAAAAGTTTATTTCTGAGGCCTCCTTCTGCTTTCACATAAAAAAAATCAACAGTAGCATTAAAAAACAACAACTGGTGATCCAACTAATACATCTGGGGAAACCACCTTCCAGGCCAAGGGAACAGAAGGTGTGAAAACAGGACCGTCAATTAGAGTTCCAACTGTTTTCGATTCTGCACCAGCCTGTTAAAACTGATATGAACAACCCTTCCTTTGATCAAACTCCAAATAAAGACATAACGTTTACTGCAGTTTGACAGCTCTTTTAATTAAGCGGGCGTTCCTCACCTGCGGCGTGAAGATCTTGGGGTTGGACAGGAAGTGCTGGCGGAAAACCTTGATGATGAGGTCGAGCTCTCGCAGGTACTGACGCTCCTCGGCGATCTCCAGACGCACCAGGTCGTCGTACGTGAGTTCCCCCGAGGACGAGGGCTCCTCCGTGCACTGAGACATGAGACCGATGTCCTCCTCCTGGTCGAACATGTCCATCAACACCTGCAGAAACGAGCAAGCAATCAGAGTCAAAGCTAATTCTTTATCAGATCAAATGCACGCTTAAGGGTCTTTGGAAATGTTTTCTCTCAGCGATTGTGATGTTATGTTAAATGTTGGTTTTTCATGTATTGTGTCTTGATATTTGTCTATGTTGATGTTACACATGGAGCTGCTGTGATGCAAGTCACATTTCAGACTTGATCGGACCATTAAAGTATTATCGTATCGTTTATGATGTTTCAGAAATGACCACGCAAGCATCAAACTGCAAAATTGGATGAAAGCTATGAGAGATCTTTCACCTTTTTTTTTAAAACAGGGGACAGTAAAGAAGTGTCCAGACATTGAAAGAAATGGTTTAAATAATAGTTACTTGTTCAAATTAGTTTCAAGAGTATATAGAGTATATACCAGGGGTAAATTAAGAGCAATTACTACCTTAATTAAACAAAAATAGGGAATATATGGATTGGGAAAGTATCGCTCGTTTGCCAGAAAACATACATCTGGAAACAAATATGTGAATTTCAAAAGAAAATATGAAGCTTCTGTTAAAACAGCTCCTAACTATGTCTCAGGAATACAAATGCAATGGACATTTTGTAAAAGTAAACATTTATTTTTACCCTAAATGCCTTTTTCCCCCAAAAACTTAATTTATTATTAAAGAAAACATGTATTCAACATTAAAAAAACAGATAAATCCTACTGTAAAAGCATCGTACTAAAGATGCCTATTTCAATTTTTGCTGTAATGTGATCGATATCGGCCGATACACACTCTCTACCGATCGATCGGGGCTCTCTAAAAATGCCGATCGCGAGAGCCGATCGCATGACGTAAAATGATGACGTAAAATACATGACACTTTTCTCTGTGCCGGCAAAACAAGCTCGCCAAAATGGCTTCACCGGTCTGGCAGTATTTTAAGGTGTCCGAAAATGACAATAAAATAGCGCTATGCAACGTGTGTGAAGCAGAAATCCTGCAGCTCCGCCCGCTGTGACGGACCGGTGAGCGGAGCAGAACACACATTAAGAGTTAGACCTAACACACTTAGCTATTTTATCTACCTCTGGAACAAGATAAACTAGTTATACATATGTTTATTCTTCACTGTCGGGTCACTCATTACTGGATCAGTGAGCTGCATGAGATACTGACGGGCTGTCAGGAGAGAGGGGGAGAGAGGAAAAGAGAGCGCTTCCGCTCATTTCTCCCGTGTTATTATCCAAAGTGAATGTAAACTTGAATAATGTACTTAATTTGAATGTAATAATTATGTTGGTTGTTGTTTGTGGAAGCGCCAGAGAATGAGCCCCATTAACTGAGTTTTAAACATCACTTTAAATGGAAGATCCCCATAGGCCCCGCCCACTCGATCGGATCGGCCCCAAAATTGGCGATCGGAGCATCCGTAAGGTAAATAAACACAAATGATGCAAAGCTATGCTCATTGTACTAAAACCTATGTGTAAACATTTTTATATTACAATAAATACAGCATGTTTAAGTATAAATAAGGATTTTATCCAGTAATAATCCCTAGTATTATACGTTTTGCACAGTGGTGTAACTGCACAGGTTTTACAGGTCATGTGTGTGTTAGTATTGCACAGTTTAAGCTGCTGATTGGGGGCGTTCTCCTCACCTTGTCTGCACACATGGACACCTTGATGTCCTGCTGGCTGATCTCGTAGTGCCGGATGTTTCCCACGTAGTTTCCCGCCAGTTTCAGGATATCTGCTGATATGTATTCAAGCACAGCCACGATGTACAGCGACACATGGTAGTCCACTTTGTAGCCCAACACCTCCTGTTGAGACACGAGAGAAAAAAGCAGTATATTAAATGATGGGTTAAAGCGCAGATCAAAATTATTTATTTAGAAAAATATGTGAATAAAGTAAAGAACCCAAAAAAACTGAAAAAAGTCTGAAAAAAGACTTAAATTATGTGGACATTTCTGAAAATTATATTGAAAATGTTTGTGCAGATAAATAGGTCCGAGAGTAATGTCCGAAAACTTCAAAAATAATGTCAAATGTATGAAAAATGGACTGAACATAAGACATAAGTTCGGATAATTAGGTTAAAAATGTCCACATTTAGGTACATTTTTCTGAAAGAACATGCTCACGATTTTTTTTCTCAAAGAAATACGAAAAAACTAACTAATAATGTGATAGAATATGATGCATAGCTCCAGATTAAACTAGCCAACTGTATGTAAAGGAGTTAAAAACATCTACAGAGCAACACATTTTAAAACAATCCCAAAAATATAAAAATAAACAAAAATTTGTAAAAGAAGTCTAAAACATGTACAGCAGTAAAATGCAATTTATACATTAATGCAATATAAGACCAAGACAAAATGTACATTTCGCTGATCTATACTTTGACTTAAAGGTAGGGTAGGTAATTCACTTCAGAAACACTTTTTGTTATATTCCATGGAATGCTCTTCACATCCCGATAGCAATGAATATATTAAATGCTTTGACAATAAATACATTAAAACATGTCATCTGTGGAAGCCATGGCGCTGTAAAAAGCACGACCAATCATCTGAGCCAGCCCGGCTAAAATAACTGGATGGCCTACCTGCCTGTCAGCCTTCCATCTGTGCACAAACTTATCTCGTGCCCTCATTGGTCATGTGCGCGTTCGTGTGTGTTGGAGGAGGGGCTCTGTGAGGAAGTCTGAAGGAAGGGGCAGATTCTTTTCGGCTGCGTACTTTCAAATTCTAGCGCAGGGGTCTGTACCTTGAGCAGGGGGTGTATCTTGTCCACGGGGAGCAGTAAGGGGTTCCTCCTCTTGCGTTTCTCAATCGCCGACTGAGCGTCAGCGATGGCCCACTTATCGATCGGGTGGGGGAACGTTTTCTGGACGCGCTCCTGCAAGAAGAGGGAAATCACTCTCTTAACACTCGATGAATGTGGAAGCATGAAGTGACTGTTATTTTGTATATATTGATTGTTGTGCATATGTACATTATTATATATTAAAAGTTGTAGCTATACTGTCTGTTATGTGTGATAGCACCATCGGAAATGATTGGAATTTCGCTGTAATCTGTGTAGTGACAATAAAGGAATCTAATCTAATCTAAAACTGAAATTAGTCATGTGGAATGCTGCATGGGTTTCGTAACTGCAATCTATCAATTTACAACATTCACGTAATGAATTGTATATTTGCGATGCGTCACCTCCACGTCCTGCACGGAGCGCGGCTGCGCGACACACAGCATGCTGAGCAGCTGCAGGATCAGCTCCTCGATGTGCTGCAGCGCGTCCTCCTTCGCCGTGAGGTTCGGGTGCACCTGCTTCTGCACCTGAGGGTGAGACACAAGAGATTAAAAAAGATGAGATGACAGCGGTGCAACTCAACCAGGTACATTTTCTTAAGTGTTAAAGGGGACCTATCATGCAAAATGCAGTTTTGTACGTCTTTTATACATGAATATGTGTCCCCGGTGTTCCAGGGAACTCACCAAGTGTCAGAAAACACAACCCTCTCTATTTTCCTCCATACCCAAATCTCTAAAAAAGGGGCTGCAACGGATCTGATAAAAACTGATCCAGATTTGAACACTGTCCTGACGTCAGGACAGTGGCGCTACGGCTATTGGGCCAACTCCACCAATCAGGAGGAGACAGCCACGGCCATTGCCGTTCGAAAGCGCTGGAGACGTTGTAGTACATATGCCAGGCCAGTAGATGGTGCTGTTCTCACAGAATCAGCCCTTGCTAAAACAGAGCTAAAAAATGTCAAATTGAGCAAAATGAGACATGGCTAAAATGCATGATCTGTTTGGTATTTTGAAAAAAAAAAAGTATAAATATGCCTTATATAGGTATGGTCCTACACTATATTATTCAAATATAGCATGATAGGTCCACTTTAACTTATATTGCTTTATGGAGCGTGATTGAGTCTTGGAAGATATTTTATTATTCTGGTTCTTGAAGGTATTAGCACTACGTGTTTTAATGTATGATTTAGATTTATTTGGGTCGAAATGGCTCTCAATTTGGACAAATATAAGCTTAAGCTACTATTTATTTAGTTGATTGTATTTTTATTGAATTTCAAATTATGAAAAGGTCGATATATATACATGAAAAGTTGTCTCTTGATTTGACAAAAAATGTCAATGTTTTTAAACTAGTCAACAGTACATAAAGAAGGGGAAATTAGTTTAACCTCAAATAGCTGTAAAATAATGAGAAGATGCCCCTTATATGTTTTTAAAAAGGACTGGAAAAAATACCACCAAAACGCTTTAAAGAAAAGTCTGAAAAATGTTGAAAAACCGCCTAAAGATACTCCAAAAACACCTGAAAAATGTCAGCAAGATGTCAACACAAGTATGCGAAACATGTCTGAAAACGCAGGGACATGAAGCCTACACGTATTTTCATTTTAGTCCAAAGTTCATAAGAACCATCCGCATCTCCAGCCTCAAAGTGAGCTTCAAGACTCTGCTAAACCATGTATCTCTGAGCAAATATATTCTCCATAAAAAGGTAAACAAACGAGCTTTTAAAAAGGTTTCTATTGGAGATGCATGAAGTCATCCAGGCTCCCAGTAGAGGGACTCCTGAGGGAGGAGCCAGCCTGACAGGAGTGAGAGAGAAACGCCCCCCCCACCCCCCACCCCCACCCAAAAAAACCTCCCAAAAGTTGTCGTCATTGGGCCGTGCCCTCTCCCAGGAATGTTGTCCGTTGAGAAACTATTATAGCACCCAAAGCAGACTTAGAGGGGAGGAAAACATACTATGTGGGAGAAACCCAGAGAGAAACCTGTTCACATGCGAGTGATGGAATTACTCTGGTATAAAGTGAAGAGGGGCATTTTGATTAGGGCTGCACAGTTTGGAAGAAAGTGACTTTTTTGTTCACTGATCAATGCAGTTGTCATTAAAAAACACATTGAAATGATCATTTTTTTAAAGAGTATCTGTACCAAACATATATTTTTAGGTCTGTAGAATATAGGGATGGGTATCGTTACTTTTATCGATACCGCTTATCGATCCGGTCCTTTAACGGTATTCTTATCGGTTCTTTTGAAAAAAAAGCATACATAGTACCCGACGTGGAAACATTCCTCGTGGATGGGGCTACAGAGCTTCTAGAAAGACAGTCGAACCCGGTGCATTTCTCCGTCAGAAGGTGGTGCACTTTTGCTAAATGTTTAGACAAATTGCTCGTGTTACCGCCCTCACATGCTAAACACTTATTGCACTTTAGGTAACGAGCATTGTCCACATCGAGACGGGTAAAGTTTAACCACACCTCGGAGCGCGTTCTCTCCGCCATCTCCTCCGTGTGTGTGTGTGTGTGTGTGTGTGTGTGTGTGTTGCATGCAGCAGCCGTGTGTGTGTAAACGGCCCCGCCCCCTCACACACAGACGGGGGATCGAAAATCCATCATAGACGCATTTTGTAGTCTTTTTGCATATTAGAAACGGAGTCGGCGACACTAAAACTGCAATATAATGTTTATGTAGCAATAATACACATGACATATTTTTTACATGTCTCCAGGACCGATAACGTCGGAGCTTAACGGTACCACGGTCTTTAATAATTCAGCCCCGGGGCCCCTTTAATACCGGGGCTCGGTACCCATCCCTAGTAGAATATCGTTTGCAGGCCGGGGTATCTCTGCAGTGCCACATTACTTCATTAACATTTAGATTTTATAACATATTTAGCCTTTAACAAATATTGTGCTTCCTGCTATTTGAATAGTGCACTAGTCAATATTTACATTTTCCACCAAAATATCGATTATTTGTGCAAAATGAGAGAGCGGGGGGTTAACTGGTTAGTTCCCTTAAAACCACATGATGAATTTATACATATTGTTATTTTATTTGATTGTATTTTTACTTAATCAGAATACTTTATTTACCCCGGGGGAAATGTAATACAGTTGCTCCATCTTAGAAGCAAATAATCAAGATAAATACATTTAAAAAAATACCAATATCTACATAAATGTTAGAAGTTAAAGTGAAAATATGCAATAAAAAGATAAAATAAGAATTCATATAATGATAAAAAGTAAAATGTCAAAGAGAAAATTAAACACAAATATTTATCAGAAGTTAAATGAATGAACTTCGACTCGTACTGCAATATTAAACATATAAAAAACATTATTTACAGTAATATATACACATGGATATAACAGCATATACACTGGTGTTAGTATTAAAAATATATTGATAATCATATATATACACATTTGATCTGTTTATCGCACATTATTTTATTTATTGAATAATTATTTTTGGTCAATTTTCAAACAAAAATAGGAAAAATGTCCCTTTTCCAGATTCTAAAGAAATTCAAAAATCTGCTTTATTATTAATATAAAAGTGAACTGAATACGGCACTTTGGACTCTCTTCAGACCTGTGATGGAATTACCCTGGAATAAAGCAAAGTGGCGCTTTATGATGACAAAACGTTGCCCCCGTGTTGAGGAATGTGAGAGGAGAGTAAAAAGGTCAGCAGCGAGCGAGCGCCATGCATTCCTCTGCTCTGACTCCACAGGAATAACCCTCTCTGTGTGTCAGCTTCATCTGCTCAATATAAAAGGTCATTAACTCCTATTTTTTTTTAAACAAAAAGTCCTGGCGTCTCTGCACGTCATTTTCTATTTCCATGCACACTCACAAGACCTGACGGGTATAAATAAGCCACAAGAATAAACTCTGCCACTTGGAAAAAATACATTTCAAAGCAGAAGTGGATTATAAGATATATCCTCTCTTACACAAATAGGCACTTGACCAAATTCCACAGGAGAGCAGGAGGGGTGAGTCACGGGCTGAAACTACGGGGGTTTCCCCAACACACACACACACACACACACACACAATGTGGCGACTAGCGTCAGCAACGTCACAACAATACACTAATCTGAAGGTCATCTGAACAGGAGTCCCTCCACTGAGAGCATGGATGGTTTAATACGTCAGAATCAGAAACGGGTTTATCACCAGGTAGGATGACACGTACGACGAATTTGACTTGATGTCATGGTGCATACATAAAAGTCAAACAAAAATTAAAAAACAGAGAGAACTATTTTAAGAAAACTATAATAACATTAAAACATGCAGAAGACGTCCTCTTTCAGGCCTCTTTTGGGTATTTCTCCCACTTTTATTAGGCGTTTTTCGCATTTTTTTTTGTCATATTAAAGTTGTGTTAGGGTTTTTGTTTCATACTAGTTTTGATTTTTTTTTTGCCTTTTTATGGTATGTTTCATACTTTTCTTTTTGGGGGCGTTTTATGGTATTTTTTGGGACTTTTTCTTTGTCATTTTTACGGCGTTTTCCAGGTCTTTTTTTGCTTTTTGTTAGACATATTTATGTTGTTTTTCGGGTAACTTTTTCTAAAAACCAATATCATTATATTATATCATCGACTTTGTGGTATGAATAATAAAAAAAAATCTTAGTCCGTTACCCGATGAACTTTATTAAGAATAAAAAGCTATGTTTTGACATAAGGTATAAACACAACCAAAAAAGAAAAAGCATCATTATGTCTTCCATTTGCTTCAAGTCATACTCCTTCCATCATATGTGCATCCTCCTGTGCCATAAAGGTGTTCAGTTTCATGGGTCGGCTCCATTAAGGAGGGGAAGGCTGGCGTACAGGAAGTCCCAACCTGTGTGTGTGTGTGTGTGTGTGTGTGTGTGTGTGTGTGCAGCAGCAGCTCGTACTACAGAATGGAGCAGAGCCAGCAGAGAAACCATGATTCTCACACACAGACAAACACACACACACAAACACACACACACAGAAACTACCAGGAAAATGATGGTGTTTTAACCTCAGCGTCTTACAGTAGATCCAATTCTAGCTGAAGTGCAGAAAGAAGACCACACACTGAGCACAAAACTGATCCATGAATGTAATAAATCCCAGACTAAAATTACAGAGATTTCCTGTAGGATTATTAAACTTTTGCTGCAAAGAGAGAACAATAATCTGCAACTATTTCATGTAATTACTCGAGAAAAATGCCAGAAAAAGCAGTTTCCACCTCTAAAATAGGGAGTTTAATAATCTAATTAATGGATTGGCTAATTATTATGTTGATATTGTAACTTAGTCGAAGCTTCTTAAAATGTGAGAATTTGACATTAGGAAGAGTGTTTATAGTGAATGTAGATCGAGGGTGTTTCTCAATGTGGAGGAAGGCTCCTCCAGAGCCACTATTTCAAGGATGCTACGTCATCGAGTCCCGCCGAAGGACTGTTCCAATGTCCAGGGTCCTTGGAATCCTACCGAGGCCGGCGTCGTTC